AAGAGAATCCAATTAAAATTTCCTATGCAAGAGGACAGTACATGTATGATGAGGAGGATAACCAATATCTAGATTGTGTCAATAATGTCACCCATGGTATGTCCATCTTATGTTGCTTTTGAGTTTGTGAAATGTTTGTTTTGGTGAGGGATTAGAAATTACCTTCAGTGAAATATCAGTACTAAAAAAGTGGAACAAGACAATTCTGTTTGGCAAGTTTTAACAAAAGTTTAGTACCTTAGCAGCCATTTTGGGTTTTTGTTATGATGAAAAATTTAGTCAAGGCTGCAGGTCTTTTACAGGAAAATGTTTTTGTGTTTACTCAATCACGGTTTGCTTAAAATTGAACAGTAAGCCTGAATAAATTTTGACATGTAACTATTGATGCAAAAGGTAAAATAGACAGACTACTGTAGCTGGAGAGAGAAATGTCATTGGCTATTTTTATCCTAAAAATATGAAGAGGTATGATAGAAAACTAAATTACTTATGAATTTTGTTGGCCATTTGACAGCCACTAATTTGGACTTTCGTTTAATTAATTTTCATGATGAATGTAACAATTGACAGCAGAATTATCATGGTGGTGTTTGTCAAATTTTTTTATGCTTTTGAATAACTCTTCCTTCTCTCTACAGTTGGTCACTGCCACCCCCATGTTGTTAAAGTTTGTCATGAACAGATGGCCACTCTTAATACCAACAACCGTTTTTTGTATGACATCATTGTTAAGTATGCACAAAGGCTGACTGCTACATTCCCACCTGAATTGAGCCAATGTCATTTTGTATGCACTGGGTAAGTTCACAACTGGCATGGAACCATGGTCTGCCAGCACTGACCTCAACCCTATAAAAGTGGATTTGGGTTTGTCAACTGGGTTGATAAAATAAATTGGCAATCAAGGAGAGTTTTAGCCTTTGAGGTAACACTCGAAACCTCAGTTTCAGTAACTCTCCAAGGTGACTAATTAGGTTTTCAACTCAGTGAGCAAAACAAAGTACACAGTCACAGGTTTGAGTCAGTGCCAGTGGACTTGCATGGTGAGGGAAAGATAGTAGTTACCTATTATGTCACCAGTAAACTGTTCATAACATCCCCATTTCAGTTTTTCTTACCTTCAAAAATGAAAAAATGTCTCTTTCAAGCCTCTCACAAAAGGTAATTGTTATAATTCTCATTCCTGAACTTTTCTTTACATGATTTGTTGATAAATATAGAAGAGATACAAAGAATAATACATGGACACACATAGATATGGAATTTCTCTTCAAGTGTTTAACTTGATAGCTCATGAGTGAGTGCAGTGAACAAGTGATATGTCAAGTTAAAGATGAGAAGACAAAATTTCATATCAGTTTACAAGCAATCATGTATTATTTTGTTTATCATATAAACACAATAGCCCTTTACTGACAAGAAAAGTCAACTTTATTAATTAATGAAAATAAAAGGATCAACCTGACTGAGTGGTGCAAAAGGCAAGTGACATGTCAGCAGCTGATTGGCAATATTAAACACACATGAAAAAATATTGTATTTTTTTCATGTGTGTTGTTACAGCTTTTCTCAAGGTTGAAAATCCCTGTATAACACCTTAGTTTATGTGATAAAAGGTTGTTTTAATGGTTCATTTTACAGGTGTGTGTTTGGTTGTCAAGTCTTTGAACAGAGTGAGTCTAAGGGTGACCTTGGTTTGAAACAAAGGTTGCTGCTTTTAAATGTAAATTACTTAGTTATCATGCTAACTAGATACTGGTCTCTATCACAACAAGGTCACCTTCAGCCTTACTCCAAATCAAAGGCTTAGCAACTACGTAAATAATTATACAATGACCTATTGCTTTTCCCTTTGGTGAAATGTAATTCTTCTTTCTCAGTATCTGTGTAGAAATTAACTATATTTGTCAAATCGTTTACAGGTCAGAAGCAAATGATCTTGCTCTGCGAATAGCGAGAGAACACACCGGTGCAGATGATATTGTCATTGTAGACAGGTATTCAGAACTTTCTTTGTTCAATTTTGTTTGCTTGTTGTTGTTGTTTTTTTAATGCCACCTTATTCATGATATTGGTAAGAGAACAAAAGGTACATGTCAAAGGGTTGAAATTTCAAAAAGCAAGTACTTTTTTTTTCAACCAGAGCCTATCATGGTCATACCACAGCATTGATTGACATCAGTCCATACAAGTTCAGAAAACTGGGTGAAAAGGGGAAGAAAGATTACGTTCATGTTTCTCCTACTCCTGATCCATATCGTGGGATATTCCAAGGAGAAGCCACACCTGAACTGGGGGAGAAGTATGCCTTAGAAGTCAAGAAACTCATAGATCAAGCACACAGAGATGGAAGAAAGGTACCTACAGTTTGGAATCTGAAAGAAGTCTTTGTTAATGTGCCATTTGCTTGTTGGTGTAGATTTTTATTTTAGTACTATTGTCTTCATTGTTTTAATTATTATTATTTGGAATTGTACTTTTTTTGGCTATTTTTCTCCTGAAATGAATGCAGTTCTTACAAAGTTTATGTTGACATCTGTAGTGATCTTATAAAGGAAGTGTCCTAGTTTTTGCTTCAAAAGTGGATGAATGTTCACCTCTGGATTCATTTTGCCAATAATTGATGAGTGCAGGAGAGAAGTGATGTACATTTAAATGTGTCTGTTCTTGTAGATTGCAGCATTTATCAGTGAATCAATGCAAGGTTGTGGAGGTCAGGTGGTCTATCCTCCAAACTACTTGAAACAAGTCTACAAGTAAGCAAATTATTTCCTTAGTATGAAATAACCTCTGTAAAAAGTTAAGTTTGAACTCCCAATGTCCTGTCTAGTAGTCACTCCAGGTACTGGCTGCTATACCTGTACATCTCATCATTAGGATGGTGGGAAAAGTTAGAGGCATATCAAGAAAGCATATTTTTGTTTGTTAATTATCCTTTATTTACTTGAGAATAAATCACACCCTGGAAAGTTAACCCTTCCACCCCCAGGATCCCAACTGTAATTTTCTGTACTGTCTGTCACACAAATCTTTAAGTCAGGAGAATTTTGTATTGGATCAAGTGAATCACAGTTTTGTTGGCAGATCCAGGGGATCCAGACTCCATATTAGACCTGTGGGATTTTTGCTATTTGTCTAACACCAGGTGTCCTCCTCTGGTTTTTTCTTTTTTTTTCTGTACGATCATTTGGTGTGTCTTGACATTTAAAATTTGATTGTTTGATCTGCACTATGATAAATTTTTACTTCTTTTTGCCAATCATTGTTAAGGTATGTACGTGAGGCTGGAGGAGTGTGTATTGCTGATGAAGTGCAGGTTGGATTTGGACGATGTGGTAAACACTTCTGGGCATTTGAGTCTCAAGGTGGGTGAGATCCTGCAGGTGTAAGGGTTTAAAATTGCAACAAGTGTGCTAAATGTTGGTAGTCAAACTTGAGCAAAAACGTGAAACATGCTATAATTCCTGTCAAAGTTACTGACACAACTGACTTGTGCAACTGCTAGATCATATCTTTGATTTTGTAGCCTGAAAAAGCTAGGATAATAGGACTGTTGTTACTCTTTTGGGACCAAGTAAAATTTAAATCATCCCCTTAAAATTTGTCAGCTCTCCTTGACAGTCATCCATTTGTACTGTGAACAGAGATAGGCATCATCAGAGTAAAGTGTCTTCTCCAAGAATGACAGATACCAACATATCAGCCAATAATTCATCATCACGAGCAAATCCAAACTTTCAAAATGTTTATTTTGCTTTGAAGCTGAGTGTTAAAGCTACAAGCACTGTACCAACCCAGGCACCCCCTCCCCACCACACCCCATCCCTGTTCTAGAGTGTTAACACCACTGGTGTTTTTGCTGACATCATGTATTGATGGCAGCAATGGTAGTCCTGCCAGAGTATGCCAGATCATAACTGTGCATTTCCCTAGGTGTTGTGCCGGACATTGTTACCTTAGGTAAGCCGATTGGTAACGGCCATCCATTGGCACTTGTTGTTACGAGACCTGAACTTGCAGAATCATTTGCTGCCACTGGCATGTCCTATTTCAATACAGTAGGTTTATTTTCAGTTGGTTTGTGATATGAATAATAATTAATTATAAAGCTTGGCTGAAAACTCTTAGATTTAAATATTGAAGGATGGGTTCCAAAGAAACCTCCCAAGCAGTGAGAGGGTTACCATGGCAACTGAGCTACAGCACCGAAAAACTGTTGTGTGAAACGAAAAGTGAGAGAGGGAGGGAGGTAGAAAAAGGGAGAAAAGTACAGAAGACATTGTAGTATAAACTCCTCTCTGTAGTCTCCCATATTACACTGGTGAAATTATTGCATGGACTTGATTTTAACCTTTCCTAAATTACATTTGGACTCATTTAAAACACTCAGTCAATAGTGCCAGAGAGTAGCAGCAAAGGGATCACCATAGCAACTAAGCTACTGTCCGCCTCTCAAAGTATCGTCTAAGCTAGCAGATGCTTGAATGAAAGTGGGCCTATGGATGAGAGGCTGATGATCTCTTTATTAGGTCACTTAGGATGTTATCCATTAATTCAAGTTCTTTTGTGGCCTAACCTTACCTGATTTGAGTACCAAATGGGAATTTCCATATTTCATTTCAGACATAAATCAAAACTACCCACCCTATTTTTGAGTAGACCATTAAGCTTATACCCACATGTCACCCTTTTGGGAAAACCCATATCCCAAATGTTTTAAGCAAAGAGATATGTCTGTATATCCCATTCCTAAACCAGGATCTGGATAGTATACTAAACTTCAATCTGTTTAGAATCCAAAAGGTGAAAATCGATATCCTTCCTCTTTCACAGCAACATAAGTCAAACACCTTATCCTTTGGGGCAGCAGCACAAAACTATGTGGCTTACATAACTGACAGTTTCCTTCCCCTCTTCTTCTTCTGGGAATACAGTCCTTTTGATCTTAGGTTAAAGCATCATGACCTTGTTCCCAGGATCTGTCTTCTTTTTGTCCCTCGAGTGTCCCTTTGAGGAAGAGAAAATGGGAGAGAGAGAAGAGAGAGCCTAGCATGATATTGCATTCAAACCCAAAGCATTAACCTGACAGTGGTCCCTTGAGCACCAATATAAACACAATATACCACTGAATGCTGTGGTTGAATAATAAATGTGACACAATTGAATAGGATGTTGCCTGATGAAATCCTCCTTTCATAAGTTTCACCATCTCCCCTATTGCTAAAATGAGATGATTATGTAACAATGTCTGTGACTGTAGATTTTATGTTTATTGCTACATTCCTTTATTTAATGTTATACATTAGATTGCAGTATTTATAGCACCCACCAAGAATTTTCCTGCTTCATATTCAAAGATTTTCCGTGAGAAGTTACATTGCTTAAAAATGAGCAGCAAATCATAAGCATTGCCCATGAGTTCGCATATTTTGTTAAGAATCAAAAGTTGTGTTGCAGTATGGAGGTAACCCAGTATCATGTGCAGTTGGCAATGCAGTCTTGGATATCATTGAAAATGAGAACCTTCAACAGCATGCTCTTGAGACTGGTGATTACTTGAAGAACAAGTTGCTACAACTTCAAACCAAGCACAGGCTTATTGGAGAAGTGAGGTAAGTGCTGATTTCTTGATCATCAGTCTGTTGTCTCGCCCTATCCTACTTCCCCTCAGGTGAGCCTCTGTGCCTAAGGAGGGTGGAAAGGGAAGAGACCTTTAAAGTGGGTGTTCGTTATTATGCAAAATGACACTTAAGGTTCTCCTGCCCTGATTTGATAGTGATACAATTACAGCTTGTCCTTATGTCATAAACAGGTCTTCCCCCATCTCCTGCAAGGTTGTTTAGCTTGGTACCACTTCTTTAGTTTCATAAACTGTTATTCTTAATAGAGCGCATTCTTTTGCTACCTTGTTGCTTTTTGTTTGATTGTCTAAGTGTTTTTAAGTCATGGTAAGCTGATTATGTCTAAGCGCCAAGGAGTATAAATGGGAACCGGTGAACTGTGAGGACACCAAAGGAAATGGGATGGGGGGCGGGGAGGGGGTTGTTGGCTTAGGGGTTGGAGAGGGTAGTTAACCTGTGATGGATTAGGATCTCATCCAAATGAGTAGCAAGATACACAGACCTTGCCAAGGGAGGAGGGGAAGGGTCATTTTCATGTCAAGCAGTAACGTCTCAAGAAAGGAAGTTCTCATTTGAATGTGAACAGATTTCCTCAGCTACGTTAGTCCTAGATTGTGGTCTGTGTGCAAATTAGACCTTTTCATCTTAACTTGCTGTTGTTGTTTTGTTTTTTGTTTTTTTTTTAAGGGGAATGGGGCTTTTCATTGGAGTGGAGCTAGTGACTGATAGAACAACAAAACAACCAGCCGCAGAAGAGGCAAGAAGAGTGATATACATGTGAGTATGAAAACTTCCTGTTCATTGCGGTGACTAGACCATCTATTTCTCAAACTGCACAGATAGACCATTCCTGCAATAATTATGCAGTTATACAGCGCATCATCCAACGCTTTACAGTGAATCTTAGCCTGAATGCATTGAGAAGTTTTACGATGTTTGGAAGAAAATTTTGCATTTTAAGAATGTTAGGGTGGAAACAAGGTCAGACCACAACGCCGGGAGCTGCGTTCTTTACTTTTTGCTAGACATTTGTGGGTTCTTCGACGTCCCTCGCTAACCAGTACTGGGAAGATGCAGTAGACAAGGCCTTCGGTTTTTCTTCCTTATTCGAGAAGACTAGAACGTCTAACCTTTTGTTGATGTCGTAGCAAAGGTAACACATTCTCCTCAGTTATATTCTCCCGGGTTCAAATAATTTACCGTATTTCTCCACTTATCTGATTATAATCATTTTTAACAGGGCAAAAGACAAGTTTGTGCTGCTATCAGCTGATGGACCTGACCACAACGTGATCAAGATCAAACCTCCAATGTGCTTCACAAACACAGATGCTGATCGAGTGTGTTCAGTTTTAGATGAGGCACTGAGCGAAATTGAGGAAAGCCAGGGAAGAAGACTGTGAAGGAGTGGTAGAAAAAGGGCCAAAGAAAGCGATCATTTTCTGTTCTAAAATTTTACACATTTTTTTGTCATGGTCTCAAGTCCGAGGGAACTTCTACAGTAGATAGACGCATTTTTTATTTCTGAATATGTCGAATTCTAAGACTTCAACATGTCCTTTACAGGATCAGTATGAGGAAGTCGCTGTACGCCAGAGTTTTGAAATATTTTTGTCGATGTGCACACCGGTTGAGAGACTAGAATTGACACAACAACTGCTAAAAATCGAATCTTATTTATATTTAATATACACGCGCGTTTTCTTTTTTATTCCATTAAATTTAGCTGTAGGCCATGATAGTTGAAAGTGAAATTTCAAAGAAAGAACGCCAGGTTTTATTTTATGTTTCTTAAAACTCATTAATCCCTTACACCCTAAGATCAGTATACATATAGTTCATACTGGTCTCTATACATTTCCAGCAGTGCTGACGAAGGGAATTTGCTTAATAATCAAGAGAATCTTCATTTGGCGATCACTTCCTTGACTATCCTGGCCTCAATATGTGATTCAGGGAAGACATTTTAATGAGAAATCAGACAATAACTACTCTTAGGGGTCAAGGGGTAAATAATGCAATAAATTGCCTGGCAAAAAGGTCACTTCTCGCTCGAGATACTGCAATCTTTTTAAATAATGCAAACACTGTCAATATGTCAATATTTATTGGGAAGTTTGTAATTTTTTATACATAAAACTGAATTTAATGCTTTCGCTCAATTTTAGTGGAATGCTTATGTGTATTTTATGTTTTTGGTTGTCCCTTATTTGAGAGTCTAGATAAATACGACATTTCTAATATAAATGATTTTAATTAATTTAATTATGTGGTAAACAGTGATCAACATTGTAACATATGAGCAAATATGAAAAAAAAAAAAAAGCTGCAGTGAAACGGTACAATAAAATTGACTTGTTATTTTCTCAATGAAAATAAATGAACATTTAAATACGTTGAGATATCTATAAAAG